TGCTGTAAGAGTTCCATGCCAGAAGAACCTACTAAATCAACAGTGACCAAGGAGAGGCCTAAGCCAGAGGTGACCAAAGCAGTGGTTGTGGACCTCGGCACTGGCTACTGTAAATGTGGTTTTGCTGGCCTGCCAAAGCCCACCCACAGGATCTCAACGACAGTAGGCAAGCCCTACATGGAGACCACCAAGACCGGGGATAATCGCAAGGAGACATTCGTGGGGCAAGAGCTCGTCAATACAGAGGTTCGTCTCAAGCTGGTTAACCCTCTGCGACATGGCATCATTGTGGACTGGGACACAGTACAGGATATCTGGGAATATCTCTTCCGACAAGAGATGAATATCGCCCCAGAGGAGCATGCAGTCTTGGTTTCAGACCCACCCCTGAGCCCACACACCAACAGAGAGAAGTATGCAGAAATGCTATTTGAAACCTTCAACACCCCTGCAATGCACATCGCCTACCAGTCCCGCCTGTCCATGTACTCCTACGGGAGGACCTCTGGCCTGGTGGTGGAGGTTGGCCATGGTGTGTCCTACGTGGTCCCCATCTATGAGGGCTATCCTTTGCCCAGCATCACCGGAAGGCTAGACTATGCAGGCTCTGACCTGACAGCCTATCTGATGACCCTGATGAACAATTCAGGGAAATACTTCACTGAGGACCAAATGTCCATCGTGGAGAACATCAAAAAGAAATGCTGCTTTGTGGCCCTTGACCCCATTGAAGAGAAGAAAGTCCCTCCCACTGAACACACGATCCTGTACACTCTGCCTGATGGGAAGGAGATACACCTGTGCCAGGAAAGGTTCCTCTGCTCAGAGATCTTCTTCAAGCCATCGCTGATCAGGTCCATGCAGTTGGGCCTCCACACCCAGACATTGTCCTGCCTCAATAAGTGTGACATCGCCCTCAAACGGGACCTCATGGGAAACATCCTACTCTGCGGGGGCAGCACCATGCTCAGTGGTTTCCCCAACCGTCTGCAAAAGGAGCTGAGCAGCATGTGCCCCAATGACACCCCACTGGTAAATGTGCTACCCGAGAGAGACAGCGCAGTGTGGACTGGTGGCTCCATCCTGGCTTCACTTCAGGGCTTCCAACCACTGTGGGTCCACCGCTTTGAGTACGAGGAACACGGGCCGTTCTTCCTCTACAGGAGGTGCTTCTGAACCCTGATGAGGCACAGCCCCCATGGTGGCAGCGCATCACTTTGCTGGGTGAGCGCCCATTCTACACACAGGGAGCTGAGCCAGAACGTTCATTTCTGTAGCATTAAACACCCCTCATGTTTCCCTCCACAACGTGTTTCTCTATTTCCCGACTCAATAGGAACAACTTCACAGATGCAGCATCTGCCTTAAAATATGTACCGGCCAAAACAAAAGCAGGTGTGGGGAGAGGGGTGGAAGGACAAATGAAAAAGATATACATTATATGTTGATTGCTTAAACACTTTTTCTCAGAAGAAACTAGCTGTAAAATTATTCTGTCCCTTATTTTGTGCTTTCCCCATTTTAAGAATTACTTTATTGTTAAAATCTGCTTGGAACTGGGGAGATCAATGAAGATAGGTTATAGAGGAAATACTGCTGGGGCACATAAAAAGCTCCCTTTCAATAAACACCAACAGGAAGTATGCTGTTAATAGTTCAATCTGCCACAAAGCAGCAGTGTACATTTCATACTTCAGCAGCAACCCTGAAGGCTTGGAAAGAGGTGGCAAAGATGTTTGTACTTTCTTTTAGTTCCAACAATCACTGTGGTCTTGATACCAGTTCTTATTAAGCCATCATGGTAACTGGTTGCTGACGCCTGGCACATTATGAGCAACATATGTGTATGTGTCTTAAGGGGGCAACTTCAGAGAAAGAGTGCCAAATTGATTTCCTGTTTTTAAAAATTGGGGCAAGATTTATCTTAGGTTATCAGCACTAAGGTCAAGGATGGAAACCACAGTCATTCCCCAGACAATTCAAGAAATAGCTGCCCATCTCCCAGCAGACTGGGTTCTCCACCAGCCTATGGAATAAAGGTGGAGTTTTGGGTGAGCTCAGGATAAAGGCTGCTGGTTCTGGGGCCGATGGTGTGGGTTTGTTAGAGGCTGCTCTATGCTGGTCATTCTGACCCAGCTGAGGAGCACAGAAAAGCACACAGATCCTCAGTGGCCAGGGAAGCCTTCCAGGGCCCAGTAGTTTCTATGGTATTCCTGCAGGGGGAGTTTGTAATTAGAGCACTTCAACAGTTCCTAGTATATTCCCCGCCCTGTCTTGAAAGTTCAGAATCTGAACAACACTAGCAGCCACCATAAAATGGTAAAGAAAATGGGCTTTGGCCCCTATGGTTTGGTACCCTATTTTGCTACAATCTAGCTGTGACCCAAGTCTGCTTACCTATACAACTGAATACAAATGCCTGCCCCACACAGCTGACATTAAAACCCAAGACAAACACCCAAATACCAGTATTTGGCTTCCAGGAGGTGCTCACAACAGCTAGCTAATATGATGTAGACTCCTACCTCTTCTACAGAGGCCCAGATGTCTTACTACGGTCCTTAGCCATATATGCACTCAAAAGGCATACATTCAGCACTCAGAGGAGAGCTGGCATCTCTACGATCTCCAGGAAGAAGCCCAACAGAGCCAGCCACCTGCACAACCTCCAGGTTTGCTTAGACAGCTGTGAAAGTCCTAAACCTGACCCTGGATCCAAGCCTGGTGAGTAGGCATACCTGGCTGGCACCATTACATTCTTGTAGGGAAGCAAAGACAGATAGCCAAAGAAGGGCATCTGAGGTTCCTAAGTTCAACAAGGATGACTTAAGCCTTACCTTGGAGTACGAAGTGATCAGCCAGAATGGGTAGAGTGCCTTGACAGAGAGGTACATCTTGTTCACCTTGGTTTCTGCCTGAACAGCCCTACTGTCAACACTCTGTGAACATTCACTAACAGGCAAGTTGAAGTTTGGTTAGTGGTGAGTAAAGCCATGAACCTCTTCTCAGAATAATACGTAAAATAAAATATGTAAGATTACAGAGAAAACCAATCACACAGAAATATACTTCTATTTTCAGATACTTTGGGGTCTATGACCCCAGTCAAGATCCCCCAAATAGGAGAGGGTCTTAATGAAGGGGAGGGGTGGGAAGTGGTTCCAGAGGATGGGAGTGTCCAGGCTGTCCTATGCCTAAATGTCTATTTTAAAATAAAAAATACCAACATAAGGCTGAATAATTGCAGTGCAGAGTCTTTTTCAAAACACATTTATAAATCCTCACACTTGATCCCCACAATTGCCCTAGCAGAAAAAGAGAATCTTTCTCATAAAAAAAGTGAACAGTTGTAGTAAGTATTTGGAAGTCATCTTACCTTGGTGGTTCTCAACTGCGGGCAATTTTGACTGGAAAGTAGGTACACTACTGGCATCTAGTGTGTAGAGGCCAGGAAAGATGTTAAACATTCTACAATGCACAGGATAGCCTCTCCCCTCCCTACCCAACAAATAATGATATGACCCAAAATATCAACAGTGCCACTGAGAAACTCTGCTTAGTCAGATAGGTACATGAGGCTAGAGGAAAGAAAGGCTCAGTGAGATTAAGTGACTTTATCCAAGGACACTAAGATGGGTGAACCTTGTTCTTTCCTTTAACATGAAGCCTTGTTCTTTCCTTTACAACATAAGGACATCTGTTGTTCTTAAAGTTTCTGGGACTTTAGAGCCAATAAGAGTAATGGTGGAGCAGCCTACTGTGGGCCCAAGGCACAAGCAAAGTCTTCAGAGAACATGGGAATCAAGAGTAGGCTTTCAGCACTGCCATTTCAGCCCTGTCACCATATTAGCCTTGGCTTTTTGACAGCCTCTTGGATATTTATAGTTACCTAGTTCCTAAGATTTTCATCCTCACCCCAGTTACTAATAAATATGACAGACATGGAAGGACAACCAAAGACTCCCAAGGGCTTGGCCAGGTGGTGTTTCACAAGAAGCACAGATGATCAGCACAAGAGGAGGAAAAATATCTAATTTTACTTCCCAAATTTGCACTCACCTTAAATTACTAAGAATCATCAGTTTTACTTGTTTTTTAAAAAAATACCCTCTATGTTATTTGTCTATGGCTATGACAAATCTCTCAAATGTTTGTGTATGTGCATGTATATAAGATTCTATATATATATATGCACACATACACATAAATTTATTCTAAAATATGTGACAGTGCTAAGAAATTATACCAAGCTCTACTTATAACTACACAATAAAAACATTAGCTCCTGACTCAGTTTTTTTTTAAGTGTAAATTTAAAATCCACTTTGATCAAAGACAGTCTCTGCAAGTTCTCTTTTGATGTACAGACATCTGAGCAAAGCTGTCTGACTCAATGGAACCAAGAAAATGACTGAATATTTTAGCTTATCGCAGCATGAACTTGCTTTGAGACAGAGTCCAAATTTTTAGGAAGAGTGTGTACTCTTTTCTAGAACTTGACAGAATCTTCCCCCCAAATTAAGTATTCATCACTCACAGTAGTTTCTCCTTTTCACGTATGCTCTATTTTTCCCCATGAATTCTTCTTTGGCTTTGCCTTCAACTCGGAAGGTCTGCTGCTGCTTGCTTCTTCTCAAAATGAATGAAATTCAATCTTGCTCAGATGAGAGAGATAGTAATTGACAGTGATCTGCCTTCACACAAATTCTTTCTTTTTTTTTTTTTTCCTTTTTGTCTTTTTTACTGACCTGTAACAGGATCGCAACCCTCGGTGTCGCACCCGTACCGCGACCGGCAACGGGATCGCAACCCTCGGTGTTGTGCCCGCACCGCGCTCAGCCAGTAAGCAGACCAGTCTCTAAATGGGATTCGAACCCTCGGCAGGAGTGCCGCCACACTCCCAAGCAGCGCACTCTACTGAGTGCGCCACCGGGCCAGCCCACACAAATTCTTTCTTGCTGCTTCAATACATTATTTTAAGAAAACTGAGCAACCATGTATCAACAGACACACTTACTTTTATTTCCAGTCTACCAGCTTGGGTCCCTTTATTATTACCCAAAGCAAGAGCACTATAATATATTAAAATGTCACATATGTCACCCATATTCATTTACTCATGCTATAGAGCAGCCACAAACTACTTTCAGACTTTCAGTTTGGGACACTTAATTATAGCAAATCCATTATGGGTATTAGTCAAAAAGTAGATTTCCTCAAAGCAGAGAACATATTATCCTTTTTTTTCCCTTTCATTTTGTGAAAATTTTCAAATACACAGAAAAGCTGAATTATACAGTGAATACCTCTAGATTTTATAGTTAACATCTTGCTTATTAGGGAAAGTCTTCTTAAATTACAATTTGGGGTATATCTATTCTCTGAAGATCAAAAGCAGCATTTCCTGTTAGTTTATGTACAGTAATGAAGGTCTGGTTCTGGTATTAAAAACACAGAATAAATTTTTAACTTTTTCCAAGGATTAGCCACAGAACTGTTGTTAAAATGAACTGGGCTTTTTTCTAGACTCATCAAAGAGAAAACATTCTCATTTCTTCCAAAGAAAATAATTGAAAGTTCTTTTGAGAAACTAAATGAAACAAAGGTCAGTTAAGCACCATAATAAATGAAATGGCCTAGACACTGTCAAAAAGATTTCAGTTAAAGGAAGCAGAATTTGGAGAACAAAGAATAATTTACAACCATCATGCCGTACAAGGCTCTAAGCTCACCCATAGCAAATGTGCATGATACTCTTTCAGAAATTCTAATCTGTTCCAGCTTTAACACTGCTCACTGTCTTGCAGAAAATAAACAAGTAGTGAAACAGTCCCTACGTACAGTGTAACTATAAGAGGCTCACCCGAGTTATAACTAGAAGCACATGACCTTATGTTACAAAATAACAGGTGTCAGCATAAAATGGCTTAGAATTTCAAAGGATACACTTAATTTTTTATTCTGCTTTTTTTAAGGTGTAAAGAAGCCATTTAAGCAATTACATCTGACCACGATGGAAACACTGTTATTTATAATGCTCTCTTCCAGTAACATAAAACAACTTAGAAACATTATTTTATTTGTCTTCACATGTGAAGTAGGAATTGTGAATCATTATTCCCAAGTAACAGATGAAGAACAGATTGAGAAACCCAATCTCATCATGACCGTAAATATGCTCTCCAACAGCACTAAATTAAAAAAAAAAAAAAATTAATTCTCACAAAATGATGCTATACTGCTTAAAGCTTAACATTTTGCTGATGACTAAGACTTACATACAAAATAAAATGCTTAGTGTCTGCTGAAGTCTGGTGCACATCTCAGCTCTCGGCAATGCTGAGGTAAATCACAGTCTTACTCTTCCCAGCTCTCAGTAGCTAGGTGTCAAAGAGCAAGAGGTGGAAGGACAAGTAGGAATGAGTGGAACACAGTCTTCTCTGTCAAAGCCCTCCTAACTTGGGTCACTCTAGCAGTTTCAGTTTCCACTGGGTTCTTTTGTCGATCTTTGGTGGTATAAAAAGCTCAGCATCTGAAAGTGAGAAAGAAAGGGAAATTCTGAGGCACGTTCTTGTTGGTGAGAGCTGAGGCAGTAGCTCTGAGCTAAACAAACTAGGTGACCGGGTTTTGCAGCTATATGATGACCATCAGAGCTAGAGTTAATGTGTCTGCCACCCTTGCAACCTCCAGGTCAGAGCCAATACTGTCTGGAGGTCTTGCCCTGAGGGCCTGCTCACCGAGCAATTCAGAGTGGAAGAATGTTCCATATTTCAATTGGGAGAGGCATGGTAGTGGTGGTGGTAGTAGTTACACCACTGAATCACCGATGTGTTAAAACTCATCAAATTGTATACCTAAGTTCTGTCCATTTCACTGTATGTAAAATTCACCTTAATTTTTAAAAAGAAAAAAAAAAAAAAAAAAAAAAATGTGGTGGTATATGTTCAGTAAGTAAAGTTAATTGACAGGTGGGGGGGGAGAAAACAGAATAACTACCAAAATTCCTTGAACTATTTAAGTCAAGTGAACAGATACGATGTGGTGGGGGAGGGGAGGGGATGGAGAGGAATGGGTAAAGGGGCATGAAAATCAAATACAATGTATTTTGAGAAGTGAAATTTTAAAAAAGTTAATTGACAGAAAATACTTTACGATAAAAAAAACTCTACAAACACACTGATAAATAAAGATGCCTCTGCTTTTAAAAATAGTAAATAATGGGGGGTTTAGGGGAAAATTTTGTCATTGTAACCTAAAGTTCCTTGGTACTCTTTCAATCAGATTTGTAGAGTCTCTTATCTAACTAGGAATCAAATGTAGGAAGCAGAGATCTGAGAAAATATGCATATATAAGGATGCTCTTTCTCAGCATTGTTTATGATAATTAAACTTCTAGCAGTATGTCTGTACATATGAGCCATACAGACATCAAAAATTATTTTCAAAGAGTATTTAACAATGTGAGAAAAATCCTCAAAATAAAATCTTTTTTAAAAACATGATTTTCATACATGCATGTACATTTTATATATACATACATACGATTTAGAAATTGTCAAATTTTAATTTTCCTTTTTTTTTTTTTTGGAGTGCCTTCCAAGTGCTAGTCATTGAACTGAGTGTTTGCATTCATTACCTCCAATCCTCACAACAACCAGCAAGGCAGGCACATCAGTCAGGGTCCCACAGTTTAAAGTCATCCGAATTTTAATTTTCCTTGACATACTTTACAATCCAGATTTTCTCTACTAATTATATCAGTTTTACAATTACACATACACTTACTACTCTCTATCTCCCCAAAACAAAAACCCATATCGACAAAAGCAAACAGGAGATTTTGGTTATATAAGAATATCGATACTGGGCTCCCAGTCAAGATAGCAGAATAGATGGTCCCCAGTGTCACTCTCTCCCATAAATCAACCAATTTACAACTATTAAAAAGCAACGAAAGCCACGCTGGGGCCGCCAGAGCTCAGGGGAAGAAGAGGAGAGACCTATGGAGTGCAAGAAGGTGGGAGAAGCCATGATGAGAGAAAGAAAAAATCACTTCAACCGTTTTGTGCCACAGGTGCTTTAAGACTGGAGCTGCTGAGTGCACAGGGCAGGAGCCAGCAAAAGCTGCAGCTGTGCCTTTTGGATGAAGGTGCTTGAAGGTGCTTGAAGGCGGCAGGGGAGAAGAGGGCCTTGGCCCCCAGGGCAGCAGTACCACTAACAGGGTTCCCGTGGACCCACAGAGGATCAAGGAGCCACAACATTTGAAAAAAGGGAGCCACTCAGAGGCCAGTGAGTCATTGCAAGGGACTGGAGCACAGCCTGTTCCGTGGGAAGTGTTTGCAGCACGGGTGGTGGGGTAGAAACGCCCACCTGGGGAAACGCTGGGACACAGAAAGGACAGCTGATCTGCCCCCCAATCAGTGCAGGACCACTCAGAGGAGACTGGTCAGAAATACAGAATTGCAAGGGGTGCAGTTTGATGAAAAGACTCAGGCCCAGACCAGTGTTTCTCTACAACCCAGGTGCACCAGATTTCACCAGATCCAGAAGTACCTATAAAGTCAACCATTAAAACCCAAGCTGCACATAAAGCCTTCCCTAGGGAATCAGCAGCAAAGCAGCAATTTAGCTCAACCACAGAGCTCATGTGCTGGTCCCCACAGGAAGTTCCCCCATTTTAGAAGTAAGCAAAGGAACTTAGTTAGGAACTAACAAATTAGCAAAGGAACTTAGCAAAGGAACTAACAAATTAGTTCCAGAGCAGAGTTTAAATGGTGGGAACAGCAAATATTCCAACACAGAACTGAAAGAAAAAACAAAGTAACCACACCAGAGACAAAGTTTGATAACTAGTAAAGGTCTCATTTCACCAAAGAACATCTTTAACACCTCGAAGGACTGGAAGTCCCCTGAGCTACCAAGCCAGAAAGGGGGGAGGGGCTGGGGGCCTCAGCAATGCCCCCCAACACCTGCAACCAGTCCCAAGGATGGGGTCCTCGGGCCTCGGCCACACACCCCCAAGTGCAACCACCCCAGTGACGACCACCAAGCCACCACAGGAGGCACCCCGGGCTCCCCCAAGCTGGGGCGGTGGGTTGCCGAGGGTCTCAGCCACGTCCCCCAGCCCCCCACGCTCAACCAGCCCAGTGATGACCAAGCCCAGTGACTACCAGCAAGCCTCGGCAAGAAGGGCCTGAGCTGGGGTGGTGGAGGGTGAGGGCTATTGCCACACCCCCTTTACATCTGTACCCAGATTGACAATAACCAAGCCACTGCTGAAAGCCCCCTGGTCTCCCCTGTGGGCATGTGGGGGGTGCCACAGGCCTCAATCCCACCCTTCCTCCTTCCCTCCTCCTTCCATCCCATTTCCTTCCTCTTCCCCTCTCCCTCTCCCTCTCCCTCCCAACTGCTCTACAACAACATCGCGGAACGTAGAAAATAATATTAATAAAATTTTAAAAATAAAAATAAATAAAAGTATCAATACTGTAAGAAGGCTACTTAAATTCATTGTCAACAAGGTCCATAATTTCAGTGATTAGAGTTTCAATGAGACTTTATGAATAAAAAAAAGTTACAAAAATGAAGTATTTTAGCTTACTTTTAAAAAATTAGGCATAACTATAACTATATTTGATTCTAGACTTATCTAAGAATAAACAGACTATTGATTTTTTGGCAGTAATTATTCTGACAAACTGTATGACAGCAAGATGTGACATCGTTTACATTTCCATGTTTGAATTTCACAGCAGAAAAAAGGCATTTAAAAATTTTTATTATTATTATTAGCATATTCATTAAGAAAGCCATTTTTATAAAAATACCTTGAAAGCTTTACAGTTTTTCCAAGAACCTTTCTTAATCCTTTAGTAGTCAAATCATTATTACTTGAAACACTTATTTTGTTATCAATTGTAACAAATCCAACTCAGCTATGATTCAAGCACTTTTCCAATATCATTTTAACCTATTTTGTGAAATATTACATTTTTGCAAGACTTGCAACTGATCTGCATGACATTTATTGCATTGCATGAAAGCATGAAACAATCAGAGAAACGACCTAAGTCACCAATCCCACTCATGGGGATGTGTGACTACATGAAACTACTGTTGCTGGGGAGAGGCAACCGAGGAATATATGAGTGGGACTGACTTGTTAATTAGTTCGTCAATGCCTATTTTTTAATTATGAAAACTTCCCTTTTCATACACAACCTTGTAATCACAAGACAATGATAACAAACACTCAGATAATGAGGAGCCCTCAAATATTACAGAAGGTCTTTAAGGCTCAGCTGGAAAATGGAAGTGCTCTTTGATGTGGGAAAGCCATTTAGAAGACCCCAGGGAAAAGTGTGGACAACAGTACAAACTAAACAACTACCAAATTGCTTCAGGTCTAAGATGCATTTTTAGCATGTCAGAAATAAGTGTATGTCCTGGAATTAATATCAAAAGCAGCTTGTCAGACTCCAGAAAGAAGGGGAGCAAGGGAGATGGTAGTCACTGTCTGGATGTATGAGTTTAGCTGGGATGAAAGGTAGTTGTTCATTCCTGGCAACAGCATAAGCTTTAAAGCTGAACTTAATTTGAATCCCCAAAGGCTACTTCAAATGTCATCAAAATGCTATTATAGTGCAGCATTTACATTTAAAATTTCAGAATGCTGCTTGTCACATGCTAGAAAATGCAAATAGCCGTAAAAACTGCCAATTATTTTACAACACATCGCTAACTTTTTCAAAGCTTAGAGAGTCTGGTATGCTTGATTGATCCACCTGAAGGGCAAATAGTCAGGTGCCAAGCTTATCTGTCAAATATTTCTAACCAACTTTCAAAAGAAATCCTTTAGGGCTTTTGAATTTTAGGGATATGTAATCTAATTGAGAATCATTTCCCCCCAAATGAACAAAACATTTTAGGTATAACTAAACAGGAAATACAAATAAAATGCTAATATTCTTTGGATTTGTCTTCTAATTATACTGTCAATGCTAAAGGTGATAAAAAAGGTCCCACTTGGGCTGGCCAGTTAGCTCAGCTGGTTACAGCATGGTGCTGATAACACCAAGGTCCAAAGTTCGATCCCTGTATCAGCCAGCTCCCCCCCAAAGTTAAAAAGTAAATAAAAGATCCAACTTATAAACACAGATTATGAAAATGTCTCCAAGGTGCAATGCATAACTGCCAAAAGCCAAAATTGGTGATTCAGAAGAATCTTTCAATTGTATTTGTAAATATAGACTGTTGAGACTGAAATTGTCACTGTGATGTGTCTGTACAGACAAGGTATGCCATTGTTAGTAAAACTTTTTTTCATGTTGGATTTCCCCCCACCAGGCGCCCACCGCTAGAAGCATTAAACTAATCTTACTCAAGATTCAGTGGTAGTAAAATGCAGAGGGAAAATTGTAGTCAATGCCCAATTTCTTATATTGCTGATCTCATCAACACTTACAAAAAGATATTCCTTCTGCTTACTCCTATAATAATTTATAGGGAAAAAATACTAACCAAGAACAGGAACCGAAGTCTTCTGTTGTTGATAAGATGCCATGATACTATTTGCAGTAGAATTGGGACCTAGAACCTAAGTAGAAAGCAGACTGTATCAGCAAAGATTATCATATACTTCTGACTGCAAACACCGAAGTCTAAATCTCTACCAGCAATAAACAGCCTATTATTTTTACTAATATGGTATCAAATACAGTAACTCTTTTTTCCTATGTAATTTTAACATGCCAGTTCTCTCATTTCAACTCAGACCTCCAATTCTCAGCTCTCCCAGAAGAACAAGGTAATGATGGGGTGGGGGACGGGGAGGGGAGAAAGAAAACAAACTCTACAATGATATATGCCTGGCCTTTTCCAAATGAGCAAGCCATTCTTTGAGAAATGGGGGAATAGTACAAGAGGCTATAGAATACACAGATTATCAATTCTACTCAAAGAGCTGTGGGAAGCAAACATTTTTATATTAAATACGAATATGTGCATTTTATGAAGCAGAATGCACACATGTTTAGGGTAAAACTCAAGACTTCACAGAAATTTCCAGCCTGTAGCAGGCCTCTGGGCACACGCCAGGCACATTTCCAGATACACACCAGGCCCACCAGTTTGCCCTCACTCAGCTCTGTACACAGTCCCTTGGTGGTACATTCTCAGAAGCAATGCCATGCACTCAAAGCTCTTCCAAGTGGCTCCCGTTATCCTACACTACATCATTACCATAATTTATCAACTAAAACAAAAACACAATTTTCCTGGTCATTTTCTCTAAAGATTTATAAAGTTGATTTTTAGAAGTTAATGTGATCTGAAGAGGGGAGGGAAGGGGAGGACACTGGATTGGCATTATAAATTGTTAGTTTGAAACCACTACAGTTTTGAAAATGATAATCACATTTCTTCTAGGAAATACCTATTATAATAAATTCAAGAATTTGTGGAGTCCTGCTTCTCAGTTGCTTTTATTTCTGTGGTTTGTGAAGTGTTTTTATATCCACCCTTGTATCAAACCTTCAAAACATTCCACTGAAGTGTAGAGGAAGTATTATCCCATTTCTAACTGAGGAAATCAAGACGCAGTAAGTGTGCACGTTTCTAACCAGTGAACTGATTACTAACCTTCTCTCTCTCAGCTCCAAACCCACCCTTTGATACACTGCTCGTGACGCTGGGGCTGGAAGCCTGAAAGAACATTCCTCTTCATCAGCTGGGTCCCTGTCATGCTCTGCCAATAAGGGACACCAGAGGGAGAGTGCGAGGCTGGAGGAAGGAGAGATTTGCTCCTTGATTTGCTTGATTTTCCTCAGCAGCAACTGTTCTTTATTTCTGTACACTTACAACCAGCCTCATCATGTCCCCTCAGAAATATAGGACCAGCTGGCTGGCACCCTCTTCTCAAGAGGCTCAAAAACCAGCTCTGTAAGGCTCCACTACCAGGCCTCTAAATTCTAATAATCCCAAACTTTTCTCTTTGTTCCCTTGGCCACTGGGGTACAAACTGCTTCCTATACTTACTATCTCAATGTCCTTCCTCTGTGTTCCCCTTTTGTCTTTTTAGTCATCCAATATGGGACGAGCACCTAATCAAAAAAATCCAAAATCTGAAATGCTCCAAAATCTGAAACTTTCTGAGCACCTATGTGACGCCATGTGCGGAGATGGGAAGCCTGCGGTTGTTTTTGATTCTGTTGCTTAACAGCTGATGCAGGTATTCTGGTGATGCTACCGTGCTGCTTAATTACCCTGAACACATGACTTTTTCACCATATTAATGAAATGTCATATTTTTACTGTTAAGTTCTTATGTGTAAATAAGTATAACAAAATAACTGCTTATAGGTAGCATATATATTGAGTGTCAGGAATGATGGTGATGCCAACCAACCACAGATTGTCCATATGGGTGGCTGAGACAGTGACACCTTTGCTTTCTGATGATTCAATGTACACAGACTTCGTTTCATGTACAAAATTATTTAAAATGTTGTATAAAATTACCTTCAGGCTATGTACAAGGTGTATATGAAACATAAATGAATTTTGTGTTTAGACTTGGGTCCCATCCCCAATCTCATTAAGTTTATGACAAGTATTTCAAAATCCAAAAAAACCCCCAAAATCTGAAACACTTCCGGTCTCAAGCATTTCAAATAAGGGATACTCAACTTGTACTTATTTAACCAATCCATACATTAAATTCTCTGTGAAAAAATATAAGGGTACTTCAAAAAGTTCATGGAAAGAGTCATATTATTCTTAACTCTATTTTTCCATTTTTTCCCCCAGGAGCTTTTTCAAGTACCTAATAGGTGTGATTTTCCTTTTTTTACCCTTACTGGACTCTGCCTGATAGATATACCAGCCTTTCTGGCATATCAAAACTCTTACCAAAAGGCTTGAGGTGGAGTACAGTGAACAGAGGCATAAACAATAAACAAATAAATTCATATCCTAGAATACATGATAGGACCCAAAGCCAATTCAGCATTAAACATAATTAGCAAACTTCATCATAACAACATAGTAGAAGCTACAAGTCAAATTTTCCATAAAATAAAAAGGAAAAGCAATTGTCTGGGGTCCCTTTAAAGATTCTGATCCTGTCCATCAGTTCTGAACTGGGAGGTAAGAGTCTGACTCTGATCCTATCTTCCCCCCTCCCCACTCCAACCTCACTGACGGTCAGGGGCAACCACATGATTTTCCCATCTTCTCCACGACAGATGCTTCATCCAGAAAGGAGAAATAATAGCCCATTTAACCTACACCAAGGTGTACTAGTCACCGTACAGGCAAATAAATATAAAATCTTCTCTCTGACAGCTTAAACACAAACATAAGATGCTTTAACTGAGGCATGTCACGTTTTAAGAAAAGGAAAGTTCTTTGCTTTGACTTTTAAGGGATTGTGTGACTATAATAACCTGGGAAGATGATGAAAAAGTGCACACTGTGTTCGAGGGAACTTACAGGTATGGCTGAATTCTGCTGGTAGGTAAGAGTCCAAATTTCTGGAATTGACCTTTCCATCAGCTGCAGAGTATCTTCAAAGGCCTTCTGTAGTTCCCTTCCTTGCTCATCAAACTCAAAGATAAAGAGTACCTTTAAAATATGGTATATTTCATCTAGAGAGAAGAAATTTGAGAGAATAGTGAGTTCTGTCCCCAGCTCCACACCTAGAATCATACCATAGTTTCTTCCCCAAGAGAAAAATTTCTAATATCACACCACAGTTGCTTTCTCCTACATCATCTTCTGTCTTCCCAAATGCTGGAGTAATTCAAAACATTTACTACAAAAAGAAAAACAAATACACAGGGGCCCAGGCAGGAAGCAGTGTCCCACAGTCTTTTATCCTGGCTTAAGTGCAAATCTCTCGCAGTTCAGTCAGGAGGTCGCCAAATGGAGGAAGGCTTCTCAGTGACCAGCTGAGAAGGGCTGTTTCAGGAATGTGCACTGAAACGACCCTTCCTGCTCCAAGTTTTCACTGTTCCTCAATCTGGGAAAATTGTATCTTAACTCCCTACTGAACTCTGCCTGTCCATGTGGCCTATTTACTGTTTTGGGGGGTCAAGGAGCATCATCAGTATAGAGAATATACCTTTCAATTTTTCAGCGTTCTGTACCAATTCACTCAGTGCCTCCAAAAGGGCCAGATCCTCCAGTGGACTCCCTTCCTTAAGGCTGTGCTTCTTCCGCTCTGCTTTGCGGCGATTCTTAGATGATCTCCTGTTAGAATTAGAGAGATGTTTAAAAAGGGGCTCTCCCTGTGCTGAACAGACTAAAATGAAGATATCTGTTAGGAGGAAAATGGTGACACAGTGTTAAAGCCACACATAAAATAAAATTGGGATGGCCACATCTTATAGACACGAAATAAGGAAAACTCTAAAAGGTGATGTTTTACCTTGAAGTTTTGATTAAAAGCTTTACAGGATAAAATGAGATTACATCTAATAATATTCTGGAACAGAATGAACAGAAGAACAACCAAACTGAATTTTATAATCAAAAAACTAAATAAATTTAAAAGCAACAAAATAAAATTTAAATAAGGAGATAGAGACATACTAGATTAGAATCTGAGTATAATAAAATCTATAGGAATCCCATTCTTTCCTGCTCCAGGTCTTTAATCATGACATCTGTTTTGTCTGGGACTTCCTCTTCCCAACTCTTAAAAGCCCAGTTCTAGTTGCTTTTCTTGCAGTTTCTGATCATCCCACACAACTCCACAGATCTCCATTCTAAATTCCTAAAACATGACTCAGTTTAAATATATAATCTTGCAATGTTTTGTGTCTCTCAAGCAAGACGATAAGCTCTCATAACTCATATCTCCTTATAAGTTTTTTTACATATGGGTATTCAATAAATACTTCTGACAAATTACTACACTGGGTAGAGTGTGATGACTTATTTTATATTTATGACCTCCTCCAATCCTGAAGAAGCCTGAAATCTTTTTCCTTCAGAATTGTTTCATTTTTTCAGTGCCCACACATAATAATCACTTGATGTTTCTTCAATGAATAAAAGCAGGTATTACATAAATTGAGTACCCAGTAGAAATGCCTCATGGGCAGTGGGCAAACACACAGGCCACAAAGCTGCAGAAGAAAACATTTCTTTTTTTTTTTTTTTTGTCCTTTTTGTCTTTTTTACTGACCGGTAACGGAATCACAACCCTTGGTGTCGCGCCCGTACCGGGGACCTGCAATGGGATCGCAACCCTCGGTGTTGTGCCCGCACCGCACTCAGCCAGTGAGCGGGAACCGGTCTCCACATGGGATCCGAACCGTCGGCAGGAGCGCCACCACACTCCCAAGCAGCGCACTCTCCAGTGCGCCATCAGGCCGGCCCCAGAAGAAAACATTTCAATACCAAGTCTAACCTCTTAAATATGCTGGAAAACTCTGCACAACTTCCACACAGCATTGATGAACAGCCTCCCCACTCCCACTGCACTTTCCTAGCAGAAAACCAACCTCTTTGCTTCTACTTTCTCCATATACCCAGGGGATAGCCAATATGCCAAATATAGGATACATACGCTGATATCCTGGAGTTACTATGGGAATATCTGCCACTCATCTCACTGCCACTCACAACACTGCTAGTTTCAGAGAAGAGGTCTGACTCTTGACCACGGGGCACCTCATCATCTAGGAAAGAAGAACCAGATGTAGACAAAAACATTCCCTGCTGGTGTGGGTTTGCCTTCAGTGAGGTAAAGGGACTTCAGTCAACCAGGGCATATTTAAGGACAAATGAAAATTATATAAAAGTTGTTCTCAAAATGAATGAGATAATATTAAATGATAAACAGTTATTGTTACTGTACATCAGTAGTTTACCAAAGTTCTTTTTTATTTCTTGGAAACAAGGAAACTCATTTTGTAAAGCACAGAAGTGGTCAGCTGCTCTGGTTGGGTGGGGATGATGGGAACGTGTGGCAGATCTCTTCCCACTCATGTTTGACCCTGCCCCCAAGTCCTTCCCCAACACACACAAACACAGACATACATAGCCCCTAAGGGGTTTCACAGAGGCCTGACTTCCTCATGGCCCAGTAATCAAAACACAGGAGGAACACTAAGCAGCTTAGACAATGTGCAGTGTTGCCTGCCCCCAAGTCCCCTGCAAGTATCAACAGTCTTCACACACTCACCCAGATTCACATGCTGTGCTTGCTCCTTGAGCTCTCGAACCACTGATAAACGGTTTTTATGGCGACTGAATGTGGCTGTCTGAGAGTTGAGAAATGCCATATAATTTTTCTGGGCTGAGGATGCAGAAAGGAAAATAATTTGAGCATGACGTTTAAGCAAAGAGAAAAAACTAAGGGGGGGAGGGTGGTAAAGGAAGACTAGAATTCAACAAAAAGAGTAGTTACTAGGTGTTCCAAGCAACTTTTTCATTAATGAGCATTACTGAACTAGAGATTGAGATTCCAGATATTAAGAGTTCAACACCAGCCCAAAATACTCTCTACCACCAAACTTGTAAAATCACCTAAACAAAGACTTGGTACCTAATCCAAGAGAGGACTGGCAGATAAAAGGAATGCACAGGAAGCTGTTAACGAAAACAGGAGGAAAGCTACTCAAATGTTTCTTCCTAAACATCCATCAAAATGCCCACAGGTATGGAATAAATGTTTCTAATGGTTTCTGAAAATTACTATCCAATGAAAAATACATGACAGAAAAATGACACTAGTAGAATATATGGGAAAAAAACAAAATGCTACTATCCAAGGACACATTTTATTAATAGATACAAGGCCTATATAGACGAATTATCAGCATTTTTCAAGTTCTCATTAACGTGAAAAGACAAGAAAGGAAGAGTGGGCTAGATGGACTGTTATACAGCCAGGAAGGATGCTTTCAGTATCCGGTAAGGGGTACCTGAAGTGAATGATACAAAATGTACCCTGCCCACAATTTTAATTAGGATGTGGGAACCATAAACTTCATTTGCAAAGGTTCTTTTAATTTTTATTTTTAAAAAATTCAAACCTAAATGAAAATTACAATAGTTCAATGAACACACATATATAACCTTCACCTAGGTTTACCAATTGTTAACACTTCGCCACATTTTTTGATTCTTGTTTTTCTCTGCATGTATGTACACACAAATACCCATCCATTCACGGACACACACACTCATTACCACTTCTGTAGAACCTTTTGAGTATGCTGCAGATGCAATCCTGCACTCCTAAATATACTTCAGCATTTATCTCTTAAGAATAAGGATATTATCTTACATAACCACAACACAATTATTAAATGCAAGAAATTTGCCATTGATACAATATTATTATCTACTATATAGTTCATATTCAAGTTTACTAACTATTCCCAAACAAAAAGATTCTTAATTGCATTTTATCATAGGTTTCTAGCATTCAAATCTTTTATGTGTTACCATTTAACAGTTTATCATATTAAAAATTCTGGTCAGAATTAAGTATTATATCCTGTGGGAAATTCTGATTGGGTTCACACAACATATTAAAAATGCAGTAACAGAGAGAGTACTCTCCCATCTCTCTCCTCTCTTTCTCTATACTTACAAATGAGGAATTCTATCTAAAACATAACCCTCACCTTCTAAAATGGAAGGCTTTATGTTGGTTTCTATAATATCCAGTCTGTTATATTTGTATACCTAAAAAGAAAAACACGACAGTTTTAGGCAGGAGAACTTCTAGTCAGGTGAGTTAAGATACTTGGAAAGAAAGGAATCACTTTCAGCGGTGACCAGGACATTTTCCCGAAAAGCAGGCCTCCCACAAGGCAGGCAAAGAAACTCAACTCATTTCAGTAAAAACCAGTAATATTTCAAGTTTGGAGGACTAATTCCAAACATTATCAAGGGTAAATTTTAAAAGTGGATTTAAAAACACTGCTTATTCTTAGACCAGGAACCTGAGCTATTTCTTTTTAATTTCATTAATCTCAGAAGACAAGGATTTCAGCTGACCTGGTCTCCCTTGCTCGCTCGCTCTCTCTCTTTTTCTCTCTGCTTAGCACCCAACATATACAGGATTTTAAAACTTCTCTTACCAGCCTCAGAGCTTCTTCCCAGGCAGCTCCTTTTAACAGCAAGAGCACAGCTTCTTCATAATCCTGACAAGGGAACAGCAAGGAAGGCAGCAGATGAACAGAGCAAACGTGTCAGATGTCATCATAACCAACTGCAAAACTGCCCACACAGCTGCCTCTATCTCCCTGGCCAGCCTTATACCTTCCCTACAGTCCCAGCTCAGCATTATGCCTGGCCTGGAGGCCATGCTCCATAAGTACTGATACAAAAGACAAAGTAGGGGTGTATATTCTGGAAATAATGATAAAACAAAAGGTAAGTATCATCTCTCTACATCCCTAGACATCAAAACCACCAGAAAGGTCTGTTAGAAATGCCCATTTCCCTAGCTTTATTAGTAAGTTTGATTCAGCAGGTCTAGGTGAGCTCCAGAACTGTGAATGAGACCACCACACTTGGAAAAAATCGTAGACTAGAATAGTGATTTTCTAAACTTTTCCTTTTTTTTCTCTTTAATGTTTATTTTTCTCCAACTTTTTATTTTGAAAAACTTCAAACCTACAGAAAACTGAAAAATGGGTGTAATAAACACCTGTATACCCTACAGTGCTCAGTTTTGATACTGTACCCTTACCCGTAAAAATATTCTGACCACGTGCCTCAATATATAATTACTTAATGAGCTTATAAATCATATAAAACATATTTTTTAAAAGATAAGATATATGAGACAATTGATTGATTTCTTCAAATAGTCACTATCATAAAAAGAGAGGCGAAATTAAAAGAGAATCAAAGGACATAAGATACAAAATGAAATACACGTGTCTAGATTTTAAGAACCATTGGAGAAACTAGAAAATTAATTATTAGATAGGATTAAAATGTGTTAATATGAAAAGATGGAGATATAACACAAAGCAAATAAAGAATAAGCACATAGAGTGCAATTTTATTTTGGTTAAAAATACATGCATGCATAGAGAAAACTCTGGAAAGAAATACAATAAGGTGCTAAAAATATCAATCTTGGAGTGTTACGAATAAGGTATTTTTATTTTCTGGTATTTGCCTTCAGCATTCTAAACAATCTACAATATGTATATATTACTTTAAATAAGTTATTTTAGTTAAAAAGATAAGTAAATATTTTCTTCCCATACCCCAATCCACAAAGGAACATAGTAGGATGTGCTGTTTGACACGCTGTGCGTGCATGTTTTATTGAAGTGAGATTCACATAGCACACAATTAATCATTTTAAAGTGTATAATTAGTGGTATTTAGTGTATTCTTATTGTTGTGTCCTATTTCAAAAGTTTTTCATTGTCCCATAAAAACACCTCATACCCATTAAGTGATCACTCCCTCCATCCCCTAGTAACCTCTAATCTGCTTTCTGTCTCTATGGATTTGCTTATTCTGGATATATCACATAAAAGGAATCATACAATAGGTGATCTTTTGTGTCTGGCTTCTTTCACTTAGCACAATGATTTGGAGGTTCATCCACGTTGTAGCATGTATCAGTTCTTTGTTCTTTTTTATGGATAATCCATTCTATGTTTATTATATCACAATTTATTTATCCATTCATCCACTGAGGGGACACTTAAGTTGTTTTCACCTTTTGGTTACTATAAATAATGCTGCTATAAACATGCAAGTACAAGTTCCTTTGTGGACATGTTTTCATCTTTCTTGAGTATATACCTAGGAGTGAACTGGTGGGTCACATGGTAATTCTATGTTTACAGTTTGGGGAACCACCAAACTGTTTTCCACAGGGACTGTACAATTTTACATTCCCAACAGCAATGTATGAGGGTTCCTATATCTCCACATCCTTGCCAATGCTTATTTTCCAATCTCCAGAACTCTTTTCATCTTGCAAAACTGAAATTCTATACCCATTAAACAACAATACGCATTTCCCCTCCCCCCAACTCTTGGTAACTGTCATTTTATTTTCTGTCTCTATGAATCTGACTTCTCTAGGGACCACAAAGAAGTGGAATCATACAGTACTTGTCTTTTTGTAACTGATTTATTTCCAATTTTTTGATTAAAGATATTCTAGCGAGTATTAATTGATAGTTTATGGTGGTTTTGATTTGCGTTTCCTTAATGACCAAGGATGTTAAGAACATCTTTTCATGTGCTTGTTGGCAATTTGTATATATCTTCTTTGGAAAAATATCTATTTAAGTCCTTTGCCCATTTTTAAGTTGGTTTGTTTTTTGTTGTTGTTGTTGTTGAGTTATAAGAGTTCTTTACATATTCTTAATATTAAACCCTTACCAGATATATGATTGCAAATATTTTCTTCCATTTTGTAGGTTGTCTTTTCACATTCCTGATGTCTTTAATGCATAAACGTTCTTAATTTTTAAGTTCAATTTATCAATTTTTTCTTTTGTTGGTTGTGCTTTTGGTGTTAATTCTAAAAATCTATTGCCAAATCCAAGGTAATGAAGACTTATCCCTATGTTTTCTTCTAAGAATTTCATAGCTTTAGCTCTTAAACTGTTGGATCCATTTTGAGTGGCCTGCGGTTTTTTAAAACTCAGGAAATATCAGATAAAAATCCATATTTCCAACTTCTCTTGAAAAAAGAAGAAATACGAAAGACATTCTGGGTTATTTTTAAATCTCCTTAAACAATAATTGATCATTTAATGCAAAAGCAATAGCAAATTGTTATGTAGTTTATAATACATGTAGAATTAAAATGTTGTAAACAATAGCACAAAGGACAAGAGGGGGAAATGGAAGTATACCCTTGTAAGGTTTTTATACTATATATGAAATAGTATACTATTATTTGAAAGTAGAGTTGGGTAAATTATTGATATTTATTGTAAATCCTAGAGCAACCACTAAAATACTAAAACAAATAAGTAAAACTAATAAGCCAATAGTGGAGATCAAATGGAATTATGAAAAATACTAAATCTAAAAAAAAGGCAAGGAAAGAGAAAACAAGAAACAAAGGATCACTGAGACAAACAGAAAACAAACAGCAAGATGGTAGGTTTAAATCCAACTATATTGCTATATGTAATCACATTAAATGCAAACATTCCAATTAAAAGGCAGGGATTGTCTAATTAGATTAAAAAAACAAGAACCAATCTCATGCTGTCAACAAGAAATCCACCTTAAATATAAAGACTACAGACAGATAGATTAAAAGGATGGAAAAAGATATGCCATGAAATGACTAATCAAAATAAAGATGGAAGGACATCTTTATTAGCATTCAAAGTAGATTTCAGAATAAGGAATATTAATAGGGAAAAAGAAGGATATCTCATAATGAATTAATCTAGGACATAATCACAAACATGTATGCACCTATAACAGAGCTTCAAAATGCATAAAGCAAACACTGGTAGAATGAAAGGAGAAACAGGCAAATACAGTACTGCAGATGGAGATTCTAACACTCCTCTCCCAGTAACTGATAAAGGAAGTAGTGAGAAAATCAACAAGGATATAGAAAAGTAGAATAGCATGATCAACCAGTCTAATCTAATTGACATTTATAGAACACTTCTTCCAATAACAGATTTCATGTTCTTTCCAAGTACACACACAACATTCTCTAAAACAGACCATTTTCTGGACCATACAACAAGAAGACTGAATTAATAAAAAATACTCTCTCTAATCACAACAGAATTAAAGTAGAAATTAATAACAAAAATTGCTGGCAAATCTCCAAATATCTGCAAGTTAAACATACTTCTAAATAACCCATATGTCAAGGAAAAAAATCACAAGGGAAATTAGAAAATGAAAACACAACATGTCAAAATTTGTGAGATGTAGCTAGAGTAGTGCTTGAAGGAAATTATGGCATTATATGAGTACTTCAAAAAGTCTGTGGAAAAATGGAATTAAAAGGTAATATGAATCTTTCCATGAACTTTTTGAAGACTTCTCATATGCTTGAACCAGAAAGGAAAAAAAGTCTCAAATCAATGATTTTAAGCCACCACCTTAAGAAGCTAGAAAAGTAAAGAGCAAATTTAACCCAAAGCAAACAATAAGTAGGAAGTAATAAAGAAAAATTAATGAAAGAGAATGCAGAAAAATAACAGAGAAAAAAATTAAACATTCTTTAAAAAGATCAATAAAACTGATAAACCTCTAACTAAACTAATCAGAAAAAAAGCCACAAATAACCAGTATCTAGGATGAAAGACAGGACATCACTATACGTCCTATGCACAAAGCATTAGAGAATACTATGAAAAGCTTTATGCCAATAAATCTGACAGTTTAGGTGAAATAGACAAATTCCTTGAAAGACACACACTACCAAAGTTCATTCCAGAAAAAAACTGGTAACTTGAATTCAGGCCCAGATGGCTTTACTGGTAAATTCTACCAACATTTAAGGAAAAAAGTATGCCAGAAGCTCAGCTGAGCTGTGAGAGAGCTGAGCTGTCCGTTGTCAGGGAAGCTAATTAAAGTAACAAGCCAAAAATGAAAGTTAAGCCTTTAGTCACTGCATTGGTATGAGCAAGAGGCTAAAATCAGAGAAAGTGCCAACTCCCTCTGTTCCATTATTCCCCAAGGAACCGTGGTCAAGGGTCAAATGGATCAGTATAGACATGAGGGTTGTCTCACTGTTGAGGGAGCCCAGGACAAAAGACATCAGCAGTTTTATGTGTGGAATATAATATAAAGCATATGTACTTCACAGGGCCTGGTTTTCCAAAGCCTTGCAGTTTCAAATATTGACCTTGCAGAGGACTATACTGTTAAACCATAACCCCACCTATGTCTCTTCCTGTAACTTCTTGGTATGGAAAATAAATGCAGGAAGAGAACCCCAATTCGGCATTAATTTCCCAAATGGAAGGGCTGGCTCTTCCTTGAGCATTCCCAGGGAGATTAACCACTTCGGGGCCTCTCACTGCTCAGTAGAGATGGGCTTTGAGTAATCCTTTGCATCTCCGTCACCCAGGGGAAGTGGGGTGACAAATCCATGGGGGGCTAAGCAACGCAAAGCAACATTTATGGACCTTGGGAGATGCAGTAGGAGGGCCAGGAGGGAAAAAGTACTTGGCAATGAGTCAGAGAAGGGAAAAGTGTCTTCAAGGTTTCCCACTTCTCACCCCTAAGGAAGCCTAGACAGATGTGCCAGAAGATGACCTTGGTCCAAGGTCTCAGATAAAAAGACCTAGGAATGAAGGCACCAGGGCTAGGAATGCAAATATGTGTAGAACATGACTGGCCAGGGGGCCCTGAGGTCCTTGCCTATAACGCACTGGCAGTACACCAAGTCTGGTGTGGGGAGGGCAGCTTTTTTTCCCATGTGGCCTCCTAGGCAAAGTCTGTAATTGCTACGGTCAGGTCTGAAAAATCACACACAGGTTTTTAACCAGGAGCCAGACTCCATACATCAATTCTAAACAAACTCTTCCAGAAAAAATAAGGAACACTTTCCTTCATTTTATGAGAGCAGCATTATCCTGATATCAAAATCTGACAGACATAAAAAAACTACAAACCAAATCCCTCATGAAGAGAAACAAAAATCCTCAAGAAAATTTTAGCAAATCCAATCCACCAACATAGAAAAATGATAATAAATGATGACGAAGTGGTCTGATGCAAGGTGGGTTTAACAATGGAAAGTCAAACAATGTAATTCACCAAATCACTGGTCTAAAAACAAAAAACCAAATTATAGTTGAAAATGCATTTGAGGCTAGCTAGTTAGCTCAGTTGGTTAGAGCGTGGTGCTAATAATACCAACGTCCAGGGTTTGATCCCTGTATTAGCCAGTCAACAGAAAAAAAAAGTAAATGCATTTGACAAAATTCAACACCCACTCATAATAAAAACTCTCAGAATCAGGAATAGAAGAGGATTTCCTCAACCTAAGAGAGGGCAAGAATTGGCAACTTCTTCCTGTAAAAGGTTAGACAATACACATTTTTGGCTTTGTGGGCCAGACCCCCTTTGTCACAACTCTTCAACTCTGTTGTAGTGGAAAAGCAGCCACAGAAAATATGTAAACAAACAGACATGGCAGTGTTCCAAAAAAACTTTATTTATAAAAACTGGTGACAGAGGGCCAGCCCATGGCTCACTTGGGAGAGTGTGGTGCTGACACCAAGGCCGTGGGGTCGGATCCCTATATAGGGATGGCCAGTTAGATCACTTGGGAGAGCATGGTGCTAACACCCCCAAGTCAAGGATTAAGATCCCCTTACTGGTCATTTTTAAAAAAAAAAAAAAAAAAAAAAAACAGGTGACAGGCTAAATTTGCCACAGGCTGTACTTTAACAAATCCTACCAAAAAAAGCATTTAAAAAAAAGAAAGGCAAACATACTTAATGATAAAAGATGACTGAATTTTTCCCCTAATATCAAGAAAAAGGCAAGGACGTCCATAACGCTCTTACTATTTCTATTCAACACTGTACTGTAGTCTCAGCAAATACAGTAAGAATACAAAAAAAAATGAAATACAAATTGGAAAAGATGTAAAACTGCCTTTATTCATAGGAACACATGTTCATTAATGTAGAAAATCCTAGAGAATCTACCCAAAAGTTTCTAGAACCAATAAATGAGTTTAGCAAGGTTACAGGACACATGATCAATACACCAAAAAAAGAAATCAGCTATACTTCCACATACTAGTAACAAAAAATAGTCAAGCCTTTAGATGACTCTGGCCCTGGCCAAACCTTAACTGCAGCTTAGTGAAAAACCCTGAGCAGAGCCCCAACTAAGCCCTGCCCAGATTCTTGACCCCTAAAAAGGTGAGATAATAGGAGTTTGTTGTTTTAAACTGCTAAGTTTTGAGGTAAGTTGTTACATAGCCACAGATAATATATACAGTGTTAGTAGCCATGATAATATGAGGGTATTCAAAAAGTTCATTAAAGTTTTGTATCATCTTTCAATTCCATTTTTCCACGAACTTTCTAAAGTATCATTGTACACCTGCTGTCACAGCAACACACCCAGTGTTGGAGTATAGGAGTAACTGAGGAACCCACACATCACTGGTGGGAAAACAAAATGGTACAGCTACTGCAGAGAAGTTATGTGGCTCCTTACAAGGCTAAACATCCCCTAACCATGTGACCTAGCACTCCCACTCCTGTCCCCACAATGACTTGTACTAGAATGTTCACAGCTGCTTTATTCATAATCACCCCAAACTGAAAACAATTCAAATGTACATCAACTGGTGAATGGATCCACTAATTGTGGTATATCCATACAATGGAATACTACTCAGCAATAAAACAAACTGCCTATACAAGCTACAATATGGGTGAATCTCCAAAGCATTATGTGAGTGAAAGAAGCCAGACTAAAAACACTATATACCATATGATTCTATTTATAAGAAATTCTAGATAAAGCAAAACTTCAGTGACAGAAAACAGATCCATGGTTGTCAAAGACTAGGAGTGGAGGGAGAAGATTGACTGCAAAAGGGGAAGTAGAGAACTTTTGGGGTGTTAGAAATGTTCTATATCATGACTATGGTGGTGGTTATATTATTGCAAACATTTGTCAAAACTCATACATTTCTGCATTTAAAATTGGTGAATTAGTTCTATTATATGTAAATTATACAAAAATTGTACAACATACAATTTTATTGGATGTAAATTACACAAAATAATTTTATGAATTAATCTTCATTACAAAGAAAAAAAAAGATTGTGGCATTTAATCTATTTAATTGACCTATATGGTATATCTTTCCACTGCACCCTCTCTACCCTCTTATGCATGTTTTATTCAGTGACGTTTTCAACTCAAACACCCAATATATTTTCTTTCCAGGATCTAATGATACAAAATTTTAATTATCTTCTTTCACTCATTCTTATTACATGAAAGACACTGAAATATTTTAAGAGCACAATTATGTTACATAAGGTGCCCACCAGCAACAACTGTAAAAAACCACTCTCTCATCAAAGGCCAGAACTCTATGAGGCAATCCCTGGTGTCAATTGTGTACCTGTGTACTGTGAGTCTGTAGCCAGTGTCAATGTACAGTTGTGTTATTTTCAAAGTAAGTCCTATCCTTAGAATCTGCTGTAAAACTGGGACCCCTCAAGCTGCCTGAGGTAAAAGAGGCATTTCCAACAGACAAAATGGGAATAAAAGCCAAAAGACTATTTAAAATTCAATTACTTTGTTTTATAATGACCCTTTTTCACTGTTTCTACATTGACAAAGTTAACAACTACCTTGAGATTTAATTTAGTACTTTCTACTAAGGTCAAACCACTAGTACATATTATAGTGAAGCTCTACGGCATTCTACCTCACAAAACATAATTATTTAGAGATATATTAAATTTAGATTTCCAAGTCACACCAGCAAGACAGAAGACCTTTGAAAGAAACACTATAACACTATCTCTGGACTTAACAGTTACCCATGGTTCCTTTAATTTCCATGCTCAGGAAGGTTCAAATGGGAAGTCCTTTCTTGTTTGGGGACAGAGGAGGACTTGGGAGTAACTGAGTTTACCTGGGCATACTGCTCCAAAACAATGGCTGCGTCATTGTGCTTCCTCTGCTCAACTAGCTTTCCTGTAAAGGTAACAATAAGCATTTGACAACAAAGTTAATCTTTGGCTGAAGTGCTTCTTTAACATGTATTTATTATGTATCAAACTATACGTATTTTGTGAATTTCTGTGAGAGGAATAGTTATGCATACCATGGAGTCCTATCTTTAAGTGGCAGTTAGAATCTAAATTTAGCACAGGATTTGAAAATCATGTATAGTCAAAATTAGCCTTAGCTTGGCGGGTTAGATCAGTTGGTTAGAGCTCAGTGTTACAACACCAAGTTTGGATCCCCAGGCAAAAAAACAAACAAAAAAAAGCCTCGAGAAATGTTCTGAAGGCATGCATGTGGGAAACTGACCTGGTATCTCTCACTAATCAATTTCTTCCTCTAACAGGAAGAAACCACTGTTTCTTTGGTTGAGCACTAGATGGAGGTAGTTGGCTTATGTTTGGGGGGTCACAAGGTATCTTTAGATCCTAGAATCACTCTCAGCCCAGTTGAAATAAATCACACTATGAGAGGCACACAGAACCCAAGGCTTACTAAGGGGCTAGAAGATTCACTATCCCATCTTATGCTCACTCCAGGGCTTATTACCACTGGAAAAAAATAAGTAAAATCACTTCCGCTATTTAAACAGTCATCTTTTCTTTCATTTGCTGGTTTGTGTAATGTGCACTCAAAGTGACTCCACTGTATAACATCTCAAAAATCTTTGACCACTGTTCTCCCCACATTTTTTTGCTAAATATCTGAGAGAACTAGGTACACTCCATCATAAGTGGTAAATAGCAAGCTAAGAGTTGTGAAGAATGTAAGAGAAGATAACTGATCCCAAGAACAGAGCTAGAAGGTATACACTACCAATAACACAAATCCCTAAAGCAGAAGTAATGATGGAGCCAGAATGAATAATTAAAAGGCCTGAAATAAGGAATCTCAACATTTGCAAAAAGAGATCAGCTTGGAAACTGAAAGGGATTACGGAAGAGACTACAGATCTAATAACTAGAAAAAGAAAAGTGATATCCTCACATATTTTTATAATTCCAAGGAAAAAAGAATAATGCAAATAACAAAAAATATGTACACAAATTTAATAGTATATAACTTGAAAATTTTTTTAAGGACTACTTTCTTTTTTGAAACCACAACAACATTTACAAGACTTTTATAGAAAGGTAGGATAAAAAATACACCAGTCGTTCCTTTATTTCAAGCACTGCTGAGTGGGTATAAAGCTATACAATGCCAGTTGTCAAGTAAAGCAAATCATAACTAAAGCCAAAATGTTTCATTATTTTAGTTATACTGTTTCCATTTATATTGTCAGAGCTAGGGCTCAGACCCTTCAAACCCACTGTACAGACTGGGTCACCAGACCCCTCACATGCCAGGCTGGGTCCCCAGACCTCTCACATGCAGGTCCATGCTAGGTAATTGGGAAAGATCCCAGGAGCTGTTGGCAGACGACACGAGCTCAATCCTCAGCAATGGCAGCAGCAGCTTACAGGTCTGGCCGTGGCAGCAGCCTCTCAGAGGGTCCTGGGGGCCCTGGCAGCAACAGCTTACAGCAACAGCCTCCAGCAGTAAAGGCCTCCTCATGGCACCCCCGGGGGCAACACGGGGGTGGGGGGCTCCCTAGATCAGAGCCACTCATCTTTTATACTTAAGTCCATAACCCAGGGCACCCGGGTGCACATGCACAATTACATTAGACAATAACCAAGGAACACCTGTGCACATGTATATATTTACATCAAATGCTTGGCAGATTCTGAACATCTGAGGGGCCCTGATCATTTTCCTATATTTTCCCAAGAGGGGGCCAGAGCCCCTATCTTCCTTTCTCACAGACATCCTTACCTTTCCTCCACTCTGAGAAATCACAAACTGGTACTAGCTTGCCCCTGGATCAGGCAACCTTTAGACTGTGAACAGCTAAACTGACTTTACTTTCAGAATGCATATACATTTGGCCTTTTCTTCCATCTCATTCTTGGCAGTTGCTGTTAGGATTTTCAACAATCTACTCCAGAATGGCCCCATCCCAAAATTTACTTTACCTTCTCATAGGGCACATGGCCATCCAGCTACACTGTACTAGGTATGGCCATATGATATAAGTTTTGACGAATGAGATAGAGCAGAAGCAATAGTTTAACTTCGAGGTTACTTCCAACTTAAAGATAATTGTTCCCCCACGACTCTGTTTCCCCACTTCCTGAGGACTGGAACTCAGCTGTGGAGATAACACAGCAACACCCATCTGCCTAAGAGACTGCAGAGCCACACAATGGAAGAACCTCTCTGTTTTTATGTGAGAGAGAAATAAACTGCTTTCTTTATTATGCCACTGCATTTTGGGACTTTTGTTGTAGCAGCTTAACATTTACACTACTTAAAAAACCATTCTAAATTAATTTTCATTAGCGAGTATGAGACTGTCTCCCAATATGCTGCCCTAAATTTATTTGCAAAATTATCAAACAAAACAAAACAAAGAAACAAAAAATATTTGGATAAGTAGACAAATAAATGACTGTGCTTACCTGCCAGAGTTCTGCCAAGGCCAGCTAGCTGGTCTTTGGTCAGGTTAAGCTGGGCTGCCACACAGAGGGCTTGCTGCCAGCTGCCACAAGCCAGAAAGGCTGAGAGAGCTTTCTCATGGGCACCAGAGCGGGCAAACACGAATCCTGCTGGCTCACACAAGCGCTCCTGCATCAGGTGTTCCCCATAAGCAATGCTGATATCCTGGTACAAGAGGACACTTAGGGTCAATGAGGAAATGTGACAATTATTTCTTTGAAGCTGCAACGTAGGCTGCCTTAGTCACTCAACTTGAATCTCTCTTGAACTACTTGGGAAAATCCTGTGGTCTATTAGTTCAATTATTTATCCATTCAAAACCTGACTGGCTATTATAAAAAAAAGAGAGAGAATAACAAATGCTGACAAGGATGTGGAAAAAGGGGAACCCTTCTGCACTGTTGGTGGGATTGTACATTAATACAGCCATTATAGAGAACAGTATGGAGGTTCCTCAAACAACTAAAGATAGAACTACCATATGATTCAGCAACCCCACTACTGGGGATATATCCACACAATTGGAAATCATCACGTCAAAGGAATACCTACACTCCCATGTTTATTGCAGCTCTATTTACAATAGCTAGGCGATGGAACCAACCTAAACATCCATCGATGGATGACAGGATAAAGAAATTGTGGTATATATACACAATGGAATACTACTTAGACATAAAAAAGAATGGAATACTGCCATTTGTAGCAACATGGATGAGCAAGGAAAAAATTATCCTAAGTGAAACAACCCAGGTACAGAAAAATAATGCATGTTCTCCCTCATAACCAGGAGATAAATCCATGAACAAATAATAATGAGAGACAGAGAAAAAGAAAGAAACAACAATCACAGTAATATGTTGAACTTTTAGAAAGAAAGAAAAGAACTATGGTTACTAGAGGTGAAAAAGGGGAGGAGACGAAGGTTAACAAGGAATTGGTTAACAGACGCAAAGAATGATTGCATACTGTAATGATGAATAAGCTAACTATCCTGATCTAACCACCACACACTGTACACAACTATTGAAAATGAATGTTGTACCCCACATGTATGTATAATAAATTATCTTTAAAAATTAAAACAAAACCTGACTGGGATGTGCCATTTATCCACTCAACAAATAATTACTGAGTATCTACATGTGCCCTATTCTGGTTAATAGGAATAATGTAGCAATAATGATATAGCAAATAATAATATAGCAAAAATAAAACCAAACAAACAACAAAGAACTACCACCAAACTCCTGGGCTTATGGTGACAGAGAGTGGGCTTGCTGACACAATACAGCAGAGAGCTGTGAAGGAGCAGAGAGCGAGGGGAGTGCTGTCTCCAAGGGCTGTGAGGAGAAGCAGCTGTGGGAAGAGGTGGGGACAGCACCCCAGGCAGAGAGCACAGAAGGCATCGTGGCCATCCGGCAGGAATGCGCATGGCAGGTTTGAGGAAAGCAAGAAGGCTGGTGTGACTGGAGCAGAGAGGGCACGAAAGAGAGAGAGAAAACAAAAGCAAAGAGATAGCCACTGGCCAAATCCTGTATTCCCCAGACTCGGTGTTAGGCAGAAACACGGAGAGGAATACAACATAGAACCCCTGACCATAGGCTGGCAAAGAAGACAAAGCAGTATACCAGTGGTTTGATTAATGCAATCACCAAGGTAAGAGCAGCGTGCTCTGGGAGCTCAATGTTCAACACCAACTCCAGGAATGGTTTTCGAGAGGAGAAGACCCAAGAGTTTTGATGGACAAGTGGGGCAAAATGAAGCGGAGAGTAGAGAGTTGGCAGAGAGCTCGCAGAGGCACTATACAGTGTAACATGTGTGGAACTACCTACAAGTAACTGGGAATGTGGAGCATGGCAGAAGCTGGTGTTAAAGAAGCTGGCAGGGGCTACATCATAGAAAGACATGTATGTAATCTGGGGATGAATTAAAAATGGTGCTAATGTTGGCACAGTGGAGTAATGGTTAATGGCATGGATTTAGTGGTTGGTCAGCCTGGGCTCTGCATCCCAGGTCTGCCACTGTGTAGCTCTGGATACTTGGGCAAGTTGTTTTCTCATCTGCAAATTGAGACCCTATCAGGTTGTTAGGAGGATCATATAACACATTCAGCTTATAAGCAAAGTACCTGGCATATAAGAAAAGCTAAATACATGTTTGTTTAAACAAACAAAACAAATCTTTATCCCTTTATGCTTAAATATATGGGAAAGACCTGTACTTTGTAGGCTGATCAGTCAATGCAGCAGTGAGGCTGGACTACAGGACGGGCAGGAGAGAAGCAGAGAACCCTATGTGGAAGCTGCTGTGGTATTCTAGATAAGAAATCAAGATCATCTCCTAGGTTTCTGGCCTATGCAATTTCTTCTGAACAGGTCAGAGCCATCCTCCCAGAAAAGAAGTTCAAGATGAAGCTAACTGATTTTAAGATAAACCTTGAAACCAAGGACAGTGTTATGGCTCCAGGGTCCTCACCCCTTTCCAACTAATGCACAAAGCAAAACCAGGAGAGCCTCATTTCTCACACAACACACCTTGTACTGCTGTGAGTTTGGCGGGTATAACTTCAGAGCTTCATTATACAAGTTTTTATCTTTTATTAAATTTAGGCATTCTGGGAAGTACTCAGGTCCTGCAGGAATAAAATTCACAAAAACACAGGCTTAAGACTTTGGAAGCACAATGGACTTCATTTATACCAATGGTCTCCAAACAAAATACACAAGAGACCTTTGAAGACCTATACAGTCAGAATATTTGGAGAACAGAATCCAGGAATTTGAATTTTTAACAAGCACCAGTGCAGATTCTGAGGAAGGAGAAGCATTAATTGGGATCAGCATTCTACTTAAAAGGAGTTCTTTTTACACTATCCAGCTTAGCGTCTTCGCAACCTTCTTGACAAGAATCACCTGGGAAACTTTAAAACCTATCCATGCCTCACTCCTATCCCAGACAAGTTGAATCAGATTCTCCAAGGAAGTCAGGAGCTGAATGCTTAACAAGCACCCCAGGTGATTCTTCTTTGTCCCTGTGTCAGCCCTCAGTAAAGAATCACAGCTGCTCCAGCAGGGGACAGGGATGGGATAAAGCAGAACTACCACTGTTCTTACTCTGCTTCATCACTGCCAATTACAACTGTGTCTTTCTGGATGGTGGGCATCACCACTCACTCCAGACAAGCCAGCTTTCCCTCACATGTTTGCAAACACCACGAGAGGGTTGTATTATCAATCAATTTTAATTTCTGACACTGAAGTTCCTTTAAGAAGTGCTCATTCTTAACCCCAAAAGGATCTTCTCTATGTTCTTAGCTAGGGAGCTCCTCCAGTTCATTAAAAATGATTTGCTTTAATCAGAAAATATGACAAAATAAGGTGAACATACATAATTGTTAAAGTTTTCAGGAAAGGAAATTGAAATCAGTCTCTGTCAAAACCAACATTTTATTTTAATTTATACCTTGCCTGGTTCCAAAGATTTGAAGCACAAATCAACATACTAATCCTCACACTTACCACATTTGCTGAGGTGGCCAATGGCTTTTTCATACCGTTTCAAGTATTTGTCTATAGTGAACCGCTGATAATTAGTTTCCATTTTCTTGAGTGTATTAAGAAATGGAAGATATTCCTTGGGATCCTAAAAAAGCAAATAATATGGAGAACTTCACTAGTTGTGATATTCTCATGTAAAAATAAAAATAAAAATATATATAACATTTAATTATAGCAATAAACCCAAAGCTACATAATTTTTTTTTTCCTTTTTGTCTTTTTTTCATGACCGGTAATGGGATCGCAACCCTTGGTGTCGCGCCCGCACCGTGACCGGCAACAGGATCGCAACCCTCGGTGTCGCGCCCGCACCGCGCTCAACCAGTGAGCGGACCGGTCTCTATATGGGATCCAAACCCTAGGCGGGAGCACCGCAAGCACCGCACTCTACCGAGTGCGCCACCGGGCCGGCCCGAAAGCTACATAATTTTTAAATGTGTATTATTATACTAATAACTATATCGTATAAAATCAAATACATCAAACAAGTTTTGGTAAAAATGCTTTCACATATGCATGTTAGTAGTTTACATTTGGAATAATAATGACTAAACCTTAACTAAGTCTCACAGTAGCCACTTATTTCATAGCCTAATAAGAAAAACAAGGTTCCAGTGTAGAAAGTGCACCCATTTTTCTCCTAAAAGTACAAGGCATTGCTCTTGGTGCTATTTTCATGACATTTCATGCTCTCCATTTGCAAAGACCACATGTTAAAGGTAAAATTATACTGAGTTGGACACAAAACTCTGAGGCCCTGCCAACCTAGTATTTATTGGCACTTTCACCTCCAGCTCTGTGCAATGCTCTGTAAGCAAACAGCATATCTTCCTAAAGAAGAGATGCTTCCTGTTCTTCATGCAATTTCACTGGACAAACAGGATGAATATAAGTAAGAACAATATAGGAAAAAAATCAAGACAGTAAATATTTAAATGCTCCTCCATGTATGGGGAGGATAACCGTGAGCCAACATATTCAACCAACAAACATTTAGTGAGAATTTGATAAGTACAGGCAATGCAACATAACTCTTAGCCTCAGGAAAGAGATGGTCTGTGGTACACAGGGGTAGGCACTGGGCAAAATAGAAGCAGTGAGGGCCATGTCACCTAATCCCTGAAAGGAAGCAAGAATGGCTTACTGGGAAGATGACCTAAGCATCCTTCAACCTAGACGAGTGAGAATTAGCCACGTGAATGGTGAGGGTCGAAGCCCATGGGAGGCGGAAGTAATGCCACCTACAAAGGCATGTGATGGCTAGTGGTGTTGAGAAGTGGAGAAGTGGAACAAAAGCACTCTCCTCCTTTCCTCCATGAGCAGAGAAAAAAGATAGCACAAAGAGATGAGAATGGAAAGGCTAGATCATGAAAGGGTTTTTAAGCAATATTATGGCTTATAGGGGCAATGGAGAGCTCATGAAGGACTTTAAGCAGAGGAATGAAGTATCAGGTTTTCATTTTTGAAAATATTATTCTGGCAACAGCAAAGAAAGGACTGATAGGGGAAGAGACTGAAGCTGCAAAAAAAACAGATAAAAAATATGTAGACCAATCATGCTAAACTATGCTCCATGGTCCCACTTTCCACTAGAAAAAAGAGCTACATGATAACAAATAAGTGTAACATGAATCACTTATTACATTTACTTTATAAGAGAAGATTTAGTTCACACATGTGCTTATAATCTTAAAAATAACCATGCAATTTTATTCCACTTCCTCAACCGAGCAATCGAAACACTTTGATAAGCCCAAAACTATGATAGAGAATGAGGCTTGGAGCATGGGCCCTGGAAACTCACAGGATTTCAAACCACAGTGATTAAAGAAACAAGAACCAAAATGATGTAAAAGTAGTAACTCCACATACCTTCTGTGACTTCTCAGCTACCATGAGGACCAAATCAAAGTCATAGGTCCCAAGAGAATGATCATATAATTCATTAACATCTACCAGAAGCAGCAAATATTTCAGGGCCTCTTCAGCACTCACAGCATCAGGAACAGATGGAGCATTTTCTGTCAGTGTTTAAGAAAACAAAACCATTTTGGGAAAAAAAACTCACAGATCTAGCAACATAATTAAAAAGGCAAAGTAACAAATTTTTCTGACAGAACTGGACACCAAATGAATATATACTGCTTTGGACTCTTTGATACATGCTTTCTAAGGCAGCAGTCAAAAAAACTGACATAGGTCTTAAAACAGCAACCAAAGGGCCACAGGTTAAATCTGTGATGAGGCAATTATATGGTAATGGTCATCTGCAAAAGACTAGTGTCAGTCAAGGCCACATTAAACACTCTCTCTGTAAGCAGGTCTCTACCTTGAAGTTCGTGTACCTTCTGCAGCACAATTTCCAGTTCTGGGGTTGTTTTCTTCACATGAGATGTGAGTATTGACAGGCAGTACCTGAGGGAATAAGTGAGGAATGGCAGAATGAGGAGGATGAATAAGCTGGACAAGAACGACAACATGCTTCTGTTATTCAAAAGATGCTAACTAATGACAGCAAACATACTTGTGAGGATTTATGTTCTCCATGGCTGCTCTCATAGCATCGCAGATAAGGTCCAGTTTTTTCCCATCAGGATTCCTGGACAGTTGGACACTGCTGGTAACTGGTGGAGGGTACATGGTCTTTGTGACATCTTCTTCCCTAATAACAAGTATGTATAAAAAGATCACTAACTGAACATGTGGCCCAGCAATCAAACTGTTAACATGTACCCGGAATGCTGATGAGATAGTAAGTAAAAATGGTATCTGGAAAATAGTTTAATTATAAAAATATTGAGAAATGAAACACTTTGACAAAAGACTTGTACAATAATGTTCATAGATATTTGATTCATATTAGCCTCAAACAGAGTACAATCCAGGTGTCCAGCAACAGGAAAATGAATAAACAAATGGTGGTATATTTACACAATAGCATACTACTAAGCAATAAAAAAAAAATGAACTAGTGATACATGCAAAAACATGGATGAATCTCAAGACAATATGCTAGTGTGAAAAAAGTGTAAATACTATATGATTCCATTTATATGAAGTTCTTGAACAGCCAGAACTGATCTATGGTGAAATACCCAAAACAGCAGTTGCCTGGAGGTTGGGACAGTTTCTGAGAAGAAAATGCTCACTAGCTTGATAGAGGTTCAAGTTACATAAAGCATACATTTTGCCAAAACTCACTGAATTGTGCATTTCAGTGTAGATAAATCTGACCTCACAAAAAAAAAAAAAAAACCTATACAAAGAATGCACTCTAGTTAATGCTATGTAAGGTGAAATACTGAGAGGTAAAGCGGACTGATGTCTACAGCAAGATGTCAAACAAGATGAGTGATGGATGAAAAGATTATAGATAGTGCTAAAGCGTATATATATAGGGAAATATGAACTGGAGATCTGGGTAGTGGTACAGGATACTTATTGGACAAATCCCTCAACTTTTCTATGTTTAAAATGTATCATTAAAAAGTTAAAAAAAATTCACTGCAGAGAATGACACCATTTGAATTCAATTAAAGAAAAACAAATAATTTTATACATATACCTAAAAATCAAGTCCAATAATAATTCTGAATAATATGTTTTAGGGCCGAGCCCGTGGCGCACTCAGGAGAGTGCGGCACTGGGAGCGCAGCAGCGCTCCCGCCGCAGGTTCAGATCCTATATAGGGATGGCCGCCGGTGCACTCACTGGCTGAGCGCAGTGCGGCCGGTCTCAAAAAAAAAAAAAAAAAAAGGACAAAAAAAAAAAATAATATGTTTTAAAGACATAGTTTCAAATAGGCTTTTTTTTTTTTAAAAGAAGAAAAAAGCAAAAAAACCTACTGGCATCTAAGAGTTATAGTGATTAAAAACAAAAAAATGAACAGGAAGTAATTTTTCTTCTCTAGTCATTTATGTTTGATTTCTTTAACAAGAGAGAAAATTATAGAAACAATATTCATAAATTATTCAAAATACTTACTTCAATTCTGTGAAAAACAAATTAATATGATTTACAGAATCTATCTGTCTTATGAAGGTGTCCACATTTTCAAGAAACACCTACCAAATAAAAGGATGAAGTATTTTAGTTCAGATCACATTAGCTGAAGTATAAAAGCAAAGGTAAATGTCAGTTTCAGAAAGTTACCTTAGGGTTATGATCATGAATCAGATTGAGATTAATTCTCAGTTTTCTCATGCATTCAAATGCTTCTTTAAACATAAGCCTGTGAGGGGACAGAAAATGGATAGAAAGGGTATTCCACAAAAATTAAGTTCCCCAGACACAGCATATTTTCATTATGATGCAAACCAGTTACAATCAGATTACAGCCCAAATGCCCAAAAACTAATTCTGGATTTCTACTCTGAAGTTACAGAATGAAAAAATCAGGTACCACATTCACATACCTTCTTAAAAGGTATGATTTAGTCCTCGTGGCAATCTGAGGACTACATCCCCACATACATGCAACAGAAAGTCATCACAGAACTTAGGTTTACTTTTTTTAACAAAACATTAATGGAGATCTAATACAAAATTTCCCCCAGATTCAGAAAATTGATCACTTCCTTCACAAGAGCAGCTCAGGCTTTTTGGCTCATAGGCCCATCTGTAAATGTGTTAAATGCCTTGGGCTTTCCACCTGGATAAATACACATAGACAAAGTTTGGTGCACAATTTCCCTGGGTTCACAGGCCACCTAAAGCCCATATGGATCCTTACAGGTTAAGAGAAGCCCTGATGAGCTTCATGATTCTTTCTGCTAGGAATGTCCACTACAACATACAGTATTAAAGTCAAAAAATGAAAGGAAAAAAAAATAAAGCCTCTGAGAACATGAAGATATCTGTAATGAAGGTTTTTCATACTTTTTTTTAGAAATTAGGAGTTCTGGTCAAGATGGCAGAACTTGGTCCCCAAAATCCCTCTCTCCCACTAAGCAACCAATTTACAACTATAAAAATGTAACATCAGCCAAGCTGGGGCCGCTCATGGGAAGAGGAGGAGAGACCTACGGAGTTCATGATGGCAGGAGAAACCACGATGAGAGAAAGAAAAAGCTGCTTGGAGCGTTTTGGGCCACGGCCGCTTCAAGGCTCGAGCTGCTGAGTGCATGGAACAGGAGCCAGCAGAAGCCGCAGCTGTGCTCTTCTGATGGAGTTGCTTGGAGGAGGCAGGGGAGAAGAGGGCCTTTGTGAACCCCAGCACAGCAAGACCACTAACAGGGTTCCCAAGGACCCACGCAGGAGCGAGGAGCCAGAACAACTGAAAAAAGGGAGCCATTCGGAGGCCACTGAGTCACCACGAGGGACCGGCGCAAGGCCCATCCCATGGGAGGTGTTTGGAGCACAGGCGGTGGGAGAGACAGGCCCACCGGGAGAACACTGGGACACAGCAAAGACAGCCAATCCACCCCCCAATTAGCACAGGACCACTCAGAGGAGACTGGTCAAGAATACAGAATTGCATAGGGTGCAGTCTGATTGAAAAACTCAGGCCCAGATCAGATTTTCTACACAACACAGATCCACCGGGTCTTTGGAGAGCCGGAAGTATCTATAAGGTCAACCATTAAACCCTGAGCTGCACAAAAAGCCTTCCCTAGGGAAACAGCAACAAAGCAGCAATTTAAACAACCACGCAGCTCAAGTACTGGTTCCCACAGGAAGTTCCCCCACTTTAGAACTAAGAAAAGGACAAAAAATTAGTTCCAGCCCAGACACACCACCACCGCCTTGGGGCCTGCCTCAGAACCTGAGGCTCGGAGCTGGAGACCAGACCCACTCCCACATCCAGACACACTGTGCCAGCGCCTCAGGGCCCGTCTGGAGACCTGAGGCATTGAGAAGGTGACTGGACTCCACTCCCACACCCTGGCACACCACCAGTGCCTCAGGGCCCCACCTGGAGTTTCAGGGCATGGACCCAGGGACCAGACCCCCTTCCCACAACCAGGCACATCATGCCAGTGCCCTGGGACCCACCTGGGGGCCCTGGGGGCTGCCAAGTGACCTGAGGCATAGAGAAGAGGACCGGACCACCCCTCCCACAACCAGGCACACTGCACCAGCACCTCGGGGCCCAGACCCCCCCTCCCATAACCAGGCACACTGCGCCAGCACCTTGGGGCCCTCCCGGAGACCAGGAGCATGAAGAAGGGGATTGGACCACCCTCCCACAACCAGGCAGACCACACCAGCGCCTCGGGGCCCTCCTGGGGACCCAGGGCATGGAAAAGGGGACTGGACCCCCCTCCCACAACCAGACACACTGTGCCAGTACCTAGGGGCCTGCCTGGGGATCAGAGGCATGGAGAAGGGGACCAGACACCCCCCACAACCAGGCACACTGCCAGCACCAAGGAACATACCAAAAACATCACCTCCATGTGGGTGGCTCACCACAGCCACCACAATAAACATGGCTGCCACAAAAGTAGCTAGACGCCACAACCACCACACAGATGGTCCGCCAACCACTGGAGTGCATTAAAACAAGAAGAGTCACCAGCAGAGATAAAGAAAGAAGAGGATGTCTCTCCACACACAAAGCCCATTTCAGAGTGACAGAAGAAGCATCTTCTCTATGATAATATTGGGGGACCTGATCATACCTCTCAGCATTGGACAGATCATCTAGGCAACAAATCAACAGAGTAACCATTATTCTTTCAGAAGGAGACAAGAAATCTTGGGTAATTAGAGGGGGGAGGGAGAGGGGGATGGGGAGAGATTGGACAAGGGGTATAAAGAATAATTATGATTTGTAACAATATATATGCTAGTGGGCCGGCCTGTAGCTCACTCGGGAGAGTGTGGTGCTGATAACACCAAGGCCACGGGTTCGGATCCCATGTAGGGATGGCCGGTTGCTCACTGGGTGAGTGTGGTGCTGACAACACCAAGTCAAGGGTTAAGATCCCCTTACCGGTCATCTTTATAAAAAAAAAAAAAAAAAAAAAAAAAAAAATAT